TCAGACATGTTTTTAACGAGTCTTTTGAACTTCTTGAACGTAAATAATGCCTCTCCTTTTTCTTTAAGGGTAGTGAACTCTTAAATCGTCTGCTTGTTATCACCAACGTTGCACCAATCCCATTTCTTTTCTTCGAATACATCTCTACTTAATTAAATGTATGCTCAACCAACCAAATCGCTAGTAACCAAATTGATATGGTTAACTATTTGCGTTGAATTTCGCGTATTAGAACGTGGATTCAGCAAGCTTTGCCTTCTAAAATGATAGTATTTGGACTTCCCTTCCATGGATGGGCACAACCCCAACCCCACATATTCCTCACATATTACGTTGGGTTACATGCATTACATGCATGCATAAGCTTTCATACATTCATCATTCATAATATTAGATAGAGGTTGTGCATTAGAAAACTCTTGGTTACCATACATGTCGCAGCATGTCATACATTTCATTGCCAAGCATGTTCATATCATAATGCAACATATCATCTCATACATATATATCATCGTAACATGAAATATCATCTAATGCATGTATCATATCGTCATACATCTCATGTCATCATAACATATCATAGAATTATAACATATTACATCATCATAACATATTACATTATCATAACACATCATATCAAAATACATGACACGTGCAGTAACCACAAATCACGTGTCATCATACATAAAACAAGTCTTCCGATCGAGCCACAGGCATAACACAAGACACAGAGGAGCATGAGCATGGCTCTTATTGGAGGGTTGAACAATAAGATATCACCAATTGGATTTGGCAGCATTAGCAAGAGTGTTAGATGCGTCATCAGCTGCAATGTTGAAAGCAAAGTAACCAAGAACCTTGTCGGCCTTTGCGAGTGCAATCTTGTCGGCGATGGTGTATTCACTCTCATAGGCAATCCAGGTTGTGTCAGAATAAGTGTACGCAATTAGATAGCTCTTGTCATTGTTCTCAACACCAGCCTGATTGTCCTCTATAAATTTCTGCACATCGGAGTAGAAGATTTGGCCGTCTGGACCAATATTTTCTCCGCTGGCTTCTCCATCTGCTTTAGCATACACGCCGTGCTGGTGAGCGCAGAAAAGTTTCCAAGCCCACCCATGGAAAGGAATTCCAAACACAATTTTCTTGTGATTGTGAAGGCTTTGAGCCCACGATTTGATCCCAAAACTTGCAGAAAAGGTATTGACCTTTGGATTGTGGAAGGCAGAGGATGGTCCGGTGGCTCTCCTTGACAGAGTTGGAGCGTAAAAGTCATAACAGAGGAGGTTCACCCAGTCCAGCTTTTGGTTGATTGCATCACCTGGGTATTGAATGTTGTTCTCAAGATACGGAACATTGGAGACTGTGGCCACCAGGAGCAGCCGCGGAAGGCTTAAGCTGGTGGCATCATCCACCACCGCTTGGTGCCACGAATGGATCAAAGTTTTGAAGTTCCCCATTTCATCCTGGGAAGAAGGGTATAGCCATTGGAGATCGAGGCCATCAAACCCACCTCCTCTGGCCACTGCAATGGAGGATTTGATGAAGGCATCACGGTTTGCAGGCTCTGCAGCCATTGTGGCGAACACAGCGGTGTCTCCTGCAATGGACAACAGAGTCTTGACCTCAGGGTTACTCAGTTTCACGGTGGAAGAAAACTGATTGATGAGAATAAGCTGTGAAGGATCAACGGTGACTTCATGAGCATCAGAGTTGAGTTGAGCGTAACCAACAAACAGATGGGTGAAAAGTGTAGCGTCGATGTTCGTGCCGGGAGCGTGTCGTCGGTACCGGCAAGCCAGTAGCCAGCATTCACAAACTCCGCCATTTCAACCCACAATTTTTCTTCTTCTTCTTCTTCTGATATCAATCAACAATGGTTGGTTGGTTGGTTGTAAAACAATGGCATACCAATCCCATATTTATAATACTCTCAAATCTCAACCTTCAATATTAACTTCCTTTTGTAATTGTAACGATCCATACATTTTGAATTCGGTATCTAATATCCCGAGCGTGTTCCTCAAACCAACACAAATCCTTCTCTGATGTTTACTCCTCACTCACATCCATCCTATACAAATTTCCAAACGGTCACACAACATAAAATTACTCCAAATAAAGTATGCTTAACTGTCGAGTTTTTATAGTTGAGCCACCGGAAAAAAAATGTGCATCTTGTTAGTGTGTAAATAGTAACTTCGAATTCTTTTAAGTCTTTCCTAGACATCATATTCTCAAGATCGCTCTTATCGTGCATATGTCAGTTCAATTGTATTATTGAGTTATCTTGTGGGCTATCTAAAGTTACGAAACTAAGTGATCCCATGAACTTTCACCGAGTATGAAAATGTCAACTCGCTCTTCACGTTGACATCGAATTCATTGACGAATGAAAATTTGTGGATAAGTTAGACTAAAATTTAAAACCCTTAACCTTCCTATTTTTCTATTCTAATAAACTAGTTCTATCTAATTTTCTTTTGTCGGGTTGTACACAAAATTATTCTAATATTGAATTAGGGTTCCATCCATTAGTTTAAGCCTCATAGAACCGACTTTTATCACATCTTTAATATCACTATTATCTTACAAACCCCAAGTGAGATCTCACATTAGTTGGAGAGGGGAACAAGACATTTCTTACAAGGATATGGAAACCTCTTCTTAGTAACGCATTTAAAAACTGTGAGGCTGACGACGAAACGTAATTAGCTAAAACAGACAATATCTGCTAGCAGTAGGTTGGGCTTTTACAAATGCTATGAGAGTTAGGCATTGGGCGATGTGCCAGCGAGGACGTTGTTTGGACTGTTACAAATGCTATCAGCGAGAACGATGGGCCCTGTGAGATCCCACATCGGTTGGAGAGAGGACTGAAGTATTCCTTATAAGGTTGTGGAAACCTCTACCTAGTAGATGCATTTTAAAACCATGAGTCTGACGGCAATAGGCAATGGATCAAAATGAACAATATCTGTTAGCAGCAAGCTTGAACTTTACATTAAGATCTCCAATCCTATGAACGAGCATTTAGATTTGGCTATCAAGTATTTATTTAATTGTGTATATATATGCTTACTACCTCAAAAAGGATATAATTTTTTAATGGGTTTGAATTTTGTAAATGGGATTGAGCAATAATAAATACTATATATATATATATATATCTAACTTTGTTTTGTCTTATTAGCTAGTCATCTATTTTATTTTATAAATGTCCAATGCCCTCTTAAAAATGTTCGAAAATGACATATAGTTAGTTGGCTTTTAAGGTTTTATCTGACTTTGTTTTTTGTCTATGTGTATTGTGTCGGGGTCCTATCAATATTTAGGAATGTAAGAGATTTAAAGTCCTTGGAACTATTTTAAGTTTAATAGAGTTTTCGATGTCTTTTTCAAGTTATTATTTTCAAAATTATTAAGAGAACGCATGGGAAAAGAGGCAGTTTCATGTATCTCAACCAAGATTTACAATATTTGTGTAGTTAACCTTGCTCAATTGTATGTAAGAGCGCAAGTCTTAGATATTATCCTTTTTGGGATTTTCTTTTCATGCTTTGCTTTGAGATTTTTTAAAACAAGTCTGTCTACCATGGAGAGATTTCTACACTCTTATAAAGAATGTTTCGTTCAACCGATGTGTGATCTCACGGCCCAACGTCCTCGCTGGCACTCTTTCTGCAATCAATTTGGGACAACCTCCCCCCCTCCAATCCACCCGATTTGGGGACCAGCGTTCTTGCTGGCATACTGTCTCATGTCCACTCTCCTTCAGAGCTCAGTCTCCTCACTTATACATCGCTCAGTGTCTGGCTCTGTACCATTTGTAGCAGCTCAAGTTCACAGCTAGCTGATATTGTCCTTTTTGGGTTTTTCCTTATAAAGAATGTTTTGTTCTCCTCCCCAATCGATTCAGTAATATATCCACAAAAATAAGGACATCAACCGTACGATCGTTCAACGACGACAACAATGGAATTGGAAGTGAATTGTCTGAAATTGATTATTGTAAGCATGATGAATGTTTAAGTATGCATTTACACCTGATTTTCATGATTTTTTTTTTTTAATAGGATAGAAGAATAGGTGATTTAGTTATGTAATTTAAAATGTCTTGTAGGATTCTCGAAACGTTAGAGTTGCTATTTCGGAGGAAGAATTGAATGGAAGTAAGGTATCGGCGTTGGGATCGCTATGTGCTCGTCGGAAATCGGCGTCCAGGATGCTACGTGATCGTCTGAAGCAAAGGAGACTGCGCCGCGTCGTCAAAAATCGGGGAGGTAGATCAATTAGGGTTTCGTTGTTTTTCGAGTAAGGAAGACAAGTTGTTGGATTCGGGTCGGGTCTCCTCGTATACCTGCAACCCAATAGCCTCTTGTTTCAATCCCCACTCCAGCCCACATCCCAGGCGAGAACGCTGGCCGCGTGCACGTTTGGCCCAACATCGTAGCTCCAGTTTCAGCTTTGCACGCGTACACAGTTGCGGCTCAGCTCACATGTGCACGAAGTTGGCTCGGTTGCATCGATTTTCTTGGCTTGTCGGCGACAGCTCGGATTATCAACTCGGTATACTCATAATATATCGGTATACTCATAGTCGGCTTATGGTTGATATGTTACTATTATATGTCCTGAAAGTGATGAATGTTACCATGTGTACACGTAGCATAATTGAGCTATGTTATGAAATGCTTATGGAATTGAAACGTATTTTCACATTACATAATATGACAGGTAACATAAGTTATGAGACCTCATGCATATTTGTATGTCATTTGCACTCCGATACTTCTCCTTTATGTCATAAAAGTATGAATTCGATATTTATGTTGGCTATAATATTATGCGGGTCTGATCTAAGGAATTACTTACTGATTATTTCATGAAATACTCGAGCCACATGCACACATATTCAACACAACATTCCTAAAAAGGAAGTGAGAGAGAAGTAATGGAATACTCATAGAAATGAATGGAGAAGAGAGCGAGGATGTTGGTAGGAAGGAACACGCCACAAACTTTATTCAACCCTTAGAACACCACACAAGGTACAACATAATAAAAAAGACAGAGACAGAGACATAGAGCATAGAGCATAGAGCAGCAGGAGCATAGCTCTTATTGGAGGGTTCAACAATAAGATATCACCAATTGGATTTGGCAGCATTAGCAAGAGTGTTAGAAGCGTCATCGGCTGCAATGTTGAAAGCAAAGTAACCAAGAACCTTGTCGGTCTTTGCGAGTGCGATCTTGTCGGCAATGGTGTATTCACTTTCGTAGGTAATCCAGGTTGTCTCGTAATAAGCGTAGGCAACAAGATAGCTCTTGTCCTTGTCCTCAACACCAGCCTGATTGTCCTCTATAAATTTCTGCACATCGGAGTAGAAGATTTGGCCGTGTGGACCAATGTATTCTCCGGTGGCGGCTCCATCCGCTTTAGCAAACAGGGTGTGCTGGTGAGAGTTGAAAAGCTTCCAAGCCCACCCGTGGAAGGGAATTCCAAACACGATTTTCTTGTGAGGCAGATTGTGGAGGCTCTGCGCCCACGACCTGATCCCAAAATTAGCTGAAAGGGCATTGGCCTTGGGATTGTGGAAGGCAGAGGATGGCCCTGTGGCGGCCCTGGAGGAGTCAGGGGTGTAAAAGTCATAAGAGAGGAGGTTCACCCAGTCCAGCTTTTGGTTGATCGCATCAGCTGGGTATTGAATGTTGCTCTGAAGATAGGGAAGATTGGAGACTGTGGCCACCAGGAGCAGCTGCGGGAGGCTTAAACTGGTGGCATCGTCCACCACCGCTTGGTGCCACGAATGGATCAAGGTTTTGAAGTTGTCCATTTGGTCCTGAGAAGAAGGGTATAGCCACTGGAGGTCGAGGCCATCGAACCCACCGCCTCTGGCTGCAGCAATGGAGGACTTGATGAAGGCATCGCGGTTTGTAGGGTCTGCAGCCATTGCGGCGAAGACGGCGGCGTCTGCTGCAATGGACAACAGAGTCTTCACCTCAGGGTTGCTGAGTTTGACGGTTGAAGAAAACTGATCGATGAGGATGAGCTGTGAAGGATCAACGGTGACTTGGTAAGTGCCGGAGTTGAGCTGAGCGTAGCCAGCGAAGAGATGGGTGAAGAGTGTAGCGTCGATGTTGGCAGCCGGGAGCCTGTCGTCGGTGCTCGCAAGCCAGTAGCCAGCATTCACAAACTCGGTGACATTCGCAAACTCAGCCATTGGAATCCACAAAAAGGCTGCTGTTTTTTTTTTTTAATTCTTCTTTGTTCTTATGATATGAATGAAGAACAATGTGGTTGGTTTGTTTGTTGTAAAACAATGGCATCCCAATCCCATATTTATAATACTCACAAATCTCAACCTTCAATATTAATTATTCTATAATAATCCCTCAAATATGTATTCACTAATATTTAAAACCCTCGTCCAATTCCTATTCTTCTATTCTATTAAACTACTTCTATCTAACTTTCTTTTGTCTTGTTGCACTCAAAATCATTCTAATATTGGATGAGCGTTCCATCCATTTTTTTAAGCCTTATTTTATCACATTTTTATTTTGGGTATAATATATACTTTTCCTACTTTACTCTTATTTTAATATCACTATTATCTTACAAACTCCAGGTGAGATCTCACACTAGTTGGAGAGGGGGAGGAAACAAACAATATCTACTAGCCGTGAGTTTGGGCTGTTACAAATGATATCAAAGCTGGGCATCGGACGGTGTGCCAGCTAGAATGTTGTTTGGGTTGTTATAAATGCTATCAAAACCATGCATCTGGCAGTGTGATAACGGGGATGCTAGCCCCCGTGAGATCTCCCGTCAAAAATATAAGTCCAATTCATCGTCTGCTATGAACTCGTTGTCAAGTATTTATTTAATTGTGTACCTATATGCTTGCCACCTCAAAATGGATATAATTTTTTAATGGGTTTGAAATTTGTAAATGGGATTGAGCAATAATAAATTCTATATATCTAACTTTGTTTTGTCTTATTAGCTGGTCATCTCTTTTATTTTATACTTGTCAAATGGCATGTTTTTAAAATGTGCAAAAATTACATATAGTTCGCATTAAGGTTTTATCGGACTTCGTTTTGTCTTTGTGTATATTATATGTGTTGGGGTTCTATCCATATCTAAAAATGGCATATACTCAAATTGAAAAAACGGGTTAAATTTTGATCGTAAATCAGATTTTTAAACTAGCAATGTGCTTTCTCTAGAAGAATCTATATTAACGAGAGAAAAATAAAATTATAAAAGAGTGAGGTTAGTGAAAATTCAGAGAATATTGAAAGAATGTTAACTAAATTACTGAAAGAATACTCATAAACTTTTAAGAGTTTTAGAAAATCAAACCGAACTGTGAAGATACTGAACAAAAACCACCAAACTAGTTTGAGACCGACAATATGGCGATGGTTCGTTTAGGCGTATATCCACTGTTCTTTAAAGCGGACAGCAAGCTGAAAATGGCCAGATTTTACTAACATCACTTACAGGGAACCAAACTGGTGCCAAAATCTAGAACAACAACATAGTTTTTTCTATTCAAGTTCGTGAACGAATCAGAAACACCTAGATAATAAGTCACGTGGTTACTGTTCGAGAGGAGACGATCACACATATATATAGCAAATGCAGAAGAACGGGGTCCGTAACATGTCATGTATGAATTATGATGTAGAATCGACAGGTTTCCAGGAAAAGTGCAACAGAAGAAAAGAGAGAAGAACATCATGCCTTGAAAGATTGATGAACCAAGCAATTCGCTTGCCAACTTCTACTCGACTCGACGACTAGTTGAACTAAGAGGGTGGCCTTTGAAATTATAGACTTATTTCTCAACCCAACCCATTTGGTGAGCTCGTCGCTCCCACAACAACGTAAGCTTCCTTTCCTTGATCGTCAAAGCCTCGGCGCGTTCTCGGGCCTCTTCACAAGTTTCGGTTGCAGCAATGCACTTTTCAGCCTCCCTCTGATACTGAGAAGCTACCCTTTTCGCCTCGAATAACGTGATGTTCATATGGCGAGTATGTTCACCAGAAACGGCTTCTTGAAGCTTCAATTCCTCTGTTAAAAGATCCACAAATTGTTTTTCCATCTCCTGCTTGAGATCTGGGTCGTTACTCCCACAGTCTTTAATGTATAAAGAAGTGAGCATGTGCATTGAAGAATGTCAAAGAATATATAAAGCAGATAATGTGAAAGAGTATAAATAAGTAGCTGAAATCTCCCAATACTTTCATATAGAAGTTTCAAACTTTCAAATCAAGAAATATGTAGCTAAAACTTCCAAATCAAGAAGTGAAGAAAACACACCCCATATAATCAAGGTAGAAGACGGGGGAACGAGAGTTGAGTCGTCTGTGGACTCAAAAAAAATATTGGAAGAAAGATATTAAGACGTATGATGTAACAGCTCAGCCCACCGCTAGCAAATATTATTTGTTTTAGCCCGTTACGTATCACCGTTAGTCTCACAATTTTAAAATGCGTCTACTAGGGAGAGGTTTCCACACCTTCATAAGAAATGTTTTGTTTCTCTCTCCAACCAATGTGGGATCTCACAATCAATCTCATTTTGGGGACCTGCGTCCTCGCTAGCACACCGCCCCCGGTGACTGGCTCACACCCTTATAAGGAATGTTTCGTTTCCTTGTCAAACCATGTGGGATCTCACAATCCACCCCCTCAGGGGCCCAGCATCCTCACTAGCATGCCGCCCGGTGACTGCCTCTGACACCCTTATAAGGAATGATTCGTTCCCCACTCCAACCGATGTGGGATCTCACAATCCACCTCCATGGGGCCTAGGGTCCTCGCTGGCACACCGTCTGGAGACTGGCTCTGACACCCTTATAAGGAATGATTTGTTCCCCTCTCCAACCAATGTGGGATCTCACAATCCACCCCTTTGGGGGCTAGCGTTCTTGTTGACACACCACACGATGACTGGCTTTGACACCCTTATAAGGAATGTTTCGTTTCCCTCTCCAACCGATGTTGGATTTCACAATCCACCCCTTTAGAGGCCCAACATCCTCACTGATACACCGCTCGGTAACTGACTCAGACACCCTCATAAGGAATGTTTCGTTCTCCTTTCTAACCGATATGGGATCTCACAATCCACCCTCCTTGGGGCCCAGCGTCCTCACTGGCACACCGCCCAATGACTGGCTATGATACCCTTATAAAGAATGATCCGTTCCCCTCTCCAACCGATGTGGGATCTCACACATGATAATTACTGGCCGTGCACACATTATATCAAAGAACATCAAGAACTAGAAGAAAATGGTTGGCAGAATCCCTTCAATGAAGTGCAGAATGCAGAATTTTTTTAAGAGTTTCGATCCATCGTAGAACAAAGCAGAACAAGAAAATATCGCATCGGAAACAAACATAACCTTAAACAATATCATATGTCGTGGAAATGAATGATGGAAGAGAAATATGATGAAAGTTGCATGTATTTCTCCAGAAAAATAGAGAGCACAAATAAGTTTAGGTCAGTAAACCATAACAGGCATTCAAAATGCTACTAAAACAAGTAACGAATCATGATTTTGTTCATTGCCAAGTTGATTTGGAGGGATGAATACTAACCTGTGACAGAGAGATTGGACAGACCTACAAAAGAATTATCAAGAACAAAAAAGGCAGTGTCAGTGAGGAAGTAACAATGAATCTGGTAAGAACACAAATCAAGTCTACTATACATGAAATCAAATGTAGTCCATCTAAGAGAGGAGGACATCAATTTATTTAAAAAGCCTCTGGATTTGGTAAAGAATGTTTGAGCAATTTATATGCGCTCTATATACTATTTTTACATCCATGCTATGTCAACACAGAAACTTCACGACGGCTCGTGCGCCAACAAGACCCTTAACGAACTTGGACCAAATAACTGAAGAGGTTCTCGAGATCCGATAGCATGCAGCAATTAGTTGTAAGAAAAATGGGGGAGGAGAAAGATATATTGAAAGTGCGCAGTGAGGGGTGGTTACAAATTACTAGGTAGTCAGTCTTTACTTAACTCGGCCTAAGCAATGCCCACTCCCATGTCTTTCTTGGTTGGACCAACCCAACCGGCGGTTTCTATCTGCCTGAATTGGGTCGCTCGAGGAGCCTACCCATGCTTGCTTATCCATACTAAACAAGATTCGCTTAATTGAATAGATGTATTGGGAATCTACTAACAAGTTTTTTTGGAAAACTTCATTTATTCTAGTATGGATGGCTGGTAGGCCTATATTTCTTGGTTTCAATAGTACTCCTTATGAACGTTGCCCAATAGATTGGTTGAGACCGTAGGTGTGAATGAGAATTTTTTCGGTGGTATTGACTGATGCTGGCTGTAGCACAAGGCAAGGGTATTGATGCAAAGATCATCTAACTTGCTTGCTATTACCATTTCATTAAATGATAACAAGTTTTAGCCTATCTACAATCGAAGCAAATAACAAGTGGATCAAAAGCTAAGGAAACAGATGGTTGGAATCATGAATCTCCACAACGGTATGATATTGTCCACTTTGAGCATAAACTTTCATGGCTTTACTTTTGCTTTCCCCAAAAGATCTCATACCAATAGAGATCGTGTTTCTTACTTATAAACTCATGATCAACCCCTTAATTAGCTGATGTGGGACTCCTCTCCCAACAATCCTTAAGTTCATAATTTTAGATCGACTGCCACTTAAGATACTCGAGTTAAAAACAACAAAGAAAAAATTCAGGAAGTCCGAATGTTAGTAGTGTTACTATGAAAGGCACCGGTGAAGAAAAGCACAACTTCTTGAAAGTTTCCCAACAAAAACCAAGATTCTAAGTTGAGATCGGGCATAATCTAGCTCCATTAAGTGTTAGGAATCACAAACCTCCACAATGGTATGATATTGTCCACTTCGAGCATCAGCTCTTGTGACTTTGATTTTCGTTTCCCCAAAAGGCCTCATACCAATGGAGATGTACTCCTTACTTATAAACTCGTGATCAACCCCCTAATTAGCCGATGTGAGACTCCTCTCCCAACAATCCTCCCCTCCAACAAAGTACACCATAGAGTCTCCTCTGAGTCCTATGGAGCCATCAAACAGCCTCCCCTTAATCGAGACTCGACTCCTTTTCTAGAGCCCTCAAACAAAATACACCATTTGTTCGACACTTGAGTCACTTTTGACTACACCTTCGAGGCTCACAACTTCTTTATTCAACATTTGAGGACTTCATTGACATAGCTAAGTTAAAGGGCATGACTCTAATACCATGTTAGGAATCACGAACCTCCCCAATGATATGATATTGTCCACTTCGAGCATAAGCTCTCATAGTTTGTTTGTGGTTTCCCCAAAAGACCTCATACCAATAGAGATATATTCATTACTTACAAACCCGCGATCAACCCCTTAATTAGCCGATGTGGGACTCCTCTCTCAACAATCCCCAACATTAAGCCCAACACGAGGTAACAAAAGGAGTACAAATCCAAATCTAAGATAGGTCAAGTTTGCCACAGCCATATACAACAACACACAATCAAAGAAAGAAACAGCTCAGAATCCAAACCATCAATGGAAACATATCTATCAAACAACCAAAATCCTTCAAATGCCCAAATGGGTATCTATGATTCTCACTAAATTTCACAACTAAGTGTTCAAAAACAGAAATCTAAAGCAACCCACAAGAGAAATCGTTTGCATTTGCTGGAACTGAGAGACGAAGATTAGAAACAATACCAGGAGCAATCTTCAAAAGGGATAAGGGGGGCGGACAATCGCAGATGCAAGGAGCGCAGGAGGTTTTGGAATCTCCCAATAGCAAAGCCTTCTTGAATCGCCAATACAAGGCCGGCCCACAAACAGCCAAAGCAGAAACTACGGCGAAAATCACGAGACAACACCTCAGGCAAGACCCAGATCGGCGTGACATTTCTCGCCCTGATCTTCCCCTGCTTTGATTCTTTCGTGCTTTTCCTTTCTGTTTCCGCGTTGTTACTGAGAAAGCGATGAACTGAGATCTAATTGCAGCAGTGGAAGTTAGAAAGCAATGGAATGAGTGGATGAACAAAATAAAACTTCTGCTAAGATGTCTTCTGCAGGTGTCGGTGTATTGAACATTTAGTGGGCTATAATGTAATGTAACAACATAAAAGATTTCTATAGAGAGGAAGAAAAAAAAAAAATTTAAGTTTTTATTTTTTCCTCTCGATTCAGTTGAATACAGTATCCAGTTTTGACCGGTGAATTATTATATTATATATTATCAACTCGAATCGAGCTCAAACACAAAGTATCGTCCTTTATATTTGTTCAAAGTGATTAAAGTTTATTTAAATCTTTAAACGTTCCTGAAAGTAACAATTCAATCTCTAAATTTTAGATGTCGTTTAGTAAAAACAATTCAAGTTCGAGTTTTTATTATTTAACGGCTAAACTTAAGGACTAAATGACCATATAAACATTGTTAAATTAAAATTACATGAACAAAATGATACACATAAAAGATAACATTCTTACTAGAAATATCATCCTACGCTACAAATTGTTATAAGTCAATCGAGGTCGTCTTGATCGAAAATCGACATGGTGAGCTCTTGATATAGAGATATTTTAGTTGAGTCTTTACTTAAACGATTAACATGACGATGACAACTATACTGATTGAAATATTTGTGAGAGAACTTGAATTTATCCTCACTTAGATCAATGATCAGAAAATGGAAAAATTATGCAAATCAGGCATTCTTATACAAACTTAAAAATGGAAACGTGGGGCGATAGCGAATTGCGAATTCATAGGCAAGATAACATTGAGAGAACATTCATCTTGTAAACTATGCCGCCTATTTGATTATTTTATGCTATTGAAGATCAAAAAGCATATTTTTTTATAACTGCTAGTCGATATTGTCTACTTTAACCCATTACTTATTGTCATCAGCCTCATGATTTTAAAATACGTCTACTGGGAAGAAATTTCCTCGCCTTTATAAAAAAAATTATAATTGGATTAGATTTCAATATTTAATAAGAGTTGTTTTAATTAAAAAAAATGATGATTATTTGATTCTAAAAATGTCACGACCTAACCCACCCAACCCAACTCAACTCAGGACAGTTGGGATTCACAATTTAACCTCCAAAGAATTTGATGCCATTATGAAGACGACTCCCACGTTACCTTGTTTGGCAAGCAAGAAAAAAGAAAAAGGAAATTTTGACCCCACAACTAGGCGTCTGCCGATTTCTCGACCACAAAAAACTCCCCTTTCCCACCGCTAAGTATCTCTCCACGTCGCCTCTTTTCCCAAGTCCACATCTTCTTCAACACCCAATTATTCAAATCAAATCACCACCGAACCCCGCAAATAAAACCCTTCTAAGGTATCTTTCAGAAACTCAACATTCAACAATGGCGAAGAAAGAGATGGAAGTCATGAAGGACGTCGACCTTGAGAGGTACATGGGTCGGTGGTACGAAATAGCCTCATTTCCATCGAGGTTCCAGCCCAAAAATGGGGCTAATACCAGAGCGACCTACACCCTGAGAGACGAGCGGACGGTGAATGTCCTAAATGAAACATGGGTTGATGGCAGGAGAAGTTTCATTGAGGGTACTGCTGTTAAAGCTAACCCTGATAGCAATGAAGCCAAGCTCAAAGTTAAATTCTATGTTCCTCCATTCTTGCCCATCATTCCTATTGTTGGAGATTACTGGATTTTGTATCTTGATCGTGATTATCACCATGCTTTAATTGGCCAGCCTAGCAGAAACTATCTCTGGGTATGACTGATTTTCTCTCTACAATACATATTATTTTTATGCTAGTTGGACTATATTTAGACTGACCGCTAAATACTACAAATTTCAAGTGTATTGCTAGTTGAGCTATGTTTAGGTGATCACTAAATACTACCAGTTTCAAGTGTATTGCTAGGGTATTGCTAGTTGAGCTATATATATAGGTGACTGCTAAATACTATGGGTTTCAAGTGTATTGCTAGTTGAGCTTAGGTGACTGCTAAATACTACCGGTTTGAAGTTGAGGTGTAGGTTGACTGCTAAATACTACGGGTTTCAAGTGTATGGCTAGTTGAGCTATATTTAGGTTGACCGGGAAACACTACGGGTTTCATTTCGAAACTCGGATAGCCAAACTGTTGGTTTTGGTGAAAAAGGATAATGGGATGTTTCTGAATTGTTCTTTGATGGTGTTTTCTTGACAGATATTGTGCAGGGAGAATCATTTGGATGAGGAGACATATAATGAACTGGTGGAGAAAGCTAAGGAACAAGGTTATGATGTGAGCAAGCTTCGTAGGACAACACACACTGACCCTCCAGAAGGAGATGAAGGTCCTAAAGATACTAAAGGAATATGGTGGATCAAATCAATCTTTGGAAAATAATCAAACTTTGAAGGAAAGTAAGTTGAATATTGTACCTTTGAGTTCAATGGGTTTGTTAAATTTCACCACTTTGGTTTGTATCCAGTGAAGATTTTGTGCTTGGTTTTGTCGAATGGTTGAAACGAGTCAGTCCTTTGTGCTTTGTGTATAGAGTCTCCCAGATATTGTATTTGCTGAATAGTTTTTTATGAAGCTGGGATTGTGAGCTCAACATTTTACTGTTGGACTGCCAGGTTCTGAACTTTCCCAGTCCTGTGAAGATGAAATTTGAATAGATATGCAATTTACTTACATATAATCTGCAAACTTTTCTATTCCGTTCAATATCAATAAGATCAATATCAATAGGTTGATTGTTTCGCTCTGTATCTTCCAAAAGGAAAAAAAGATTTCTGAGAGCTCTTTCCTGGATCCGAAAGAGAGTACTTGGGTTCTCCCAATAACTAAAAAGTGTATCATGCCTAAATCTAACCGGGGTTCGCGGTGGTGGAGGAACAAGATTGGAAAAAAGAGGAATTCCAGTTGTAAGATATCTAATGAAACCGTCTTCTTTTGTCAACCAAACAGAAAAAGTGCTTTGGTTCGATCAGTTATTTTCCAAGAGCATTGCCTGTGAAAGGGTCCTTCAAACTAGGTAGCCCTCCAGCTAGAAGTACATATGAAATTGAACATAGTTTTCTCTCCTGTAGTGATAGAATACTCCAAAACTCAAGAAGTTCATTCAGATTAAGAGAAGCAAAGAAGAGATATGGAGGTTGAGGTTTAAGAAGGTGTATGTAAAGGCAGGCTAGTCTCCCGTTTTGATGCCATTTAGTTTGGCAAACAATGGGAGTTTCATACATAACCTGGCAAAATCAACCACTGAATCAATAGAGAAGTGTACAAATCCCTTCTCTAACTACAAGAATCAAACCATTGGATAAAAGATTTAATAAAATCGAAGGGATATCAGATGTATGGTAAGATCTACTGTCACTTTCATTCATTACACCAACTTCATTGAAAGAGGTTAGCTTTCATTTTCCCCCACAGATTATAGGCTTCACCACAATCCCAATAACCCAAAACCTTCATTTTCCAACTAATTTCTCTGTAATTCTCTTCTACCCTCCTTGATGAGACCGTTTCTCTGAGTTGTGAAAGGGAGAGAGATGAACAGACCAAGTTTTAACAGTTCAAACATATTCACATCATTAGAAAGAAAAGATACAATTGAATTGAAAGATATATTTGAAGAATCAAACCACTAGAAACTTCTTTCGAACAATTAGGCAGTTGTTAGCTCTCTTACTTCACAAGAGAAGAAATGTGACCATGTAGGGCCAAATATTGTACTATACACAAAGAGAAATCATTACAATAACATATCTAAAATAAAAAAATAAAATCAATTGAACAAGATATTCTCAAAATGCCAGTCGAGGTTCCTACCAAACAAATAATAGATCTGCACTTTCAAAGGTTATGCCTACATATGGAAGAGCATCTACAATAGCTTGGAATCTGAATTACCAGAATGGTAGCCTCGCTGAAGTTATGTTCACTTTATATGCAAGCAGCTAGTTCCAAGATCTTCACAGAAGAAGTTCCAGATGCCTTCCATTTTTCTACACATCGTGTGCCAAAACCTGTATAAAGAACAGCACGTCCGAAACCAAGCACTCTGCATAAAGTCTTTCAGAGATTTCATGAGGAAAGGAGCGCACAAATCATAATTGGGCATTCAAATCTAATGTTTAATATATTGACATGATACAAAACACTAACTCCGTGATCACTTAAACAATAATAAGCGTCATGAGGCTGCTACCGAGCGAGTTGATAAACGCCCAAGGCCGAGACCTAAGCCCAATGGGACACCGTCTTTTTTAGCTTTTCCATGGTTACTGTGACTACAATTTGAAGAATGAGTATGGCCGTGATGGCTAGTTGTATTCTTAGAATTCACATTTACTGCTATGTGGTTGTTTCCATTGGTGTTGTGAGAATGAGAGTCTCCATTCTGCAAGATTGAATTTATCGGTGTAGACATTGCTTCCATCTCTTCTGAATGCGACGAGACTTCATTATACTCCACGTCTTCATTGTATCCCTTAATCAGAAAGTCAGAACAGTTTTTCTTGATCCCATGATCATAAGGGTTCCTAAACCGACCTCCAGGACCGCGCAGATAGCTATACCGCATAGCATTTGCCATTTCGTTTGTAGTAATATTACGAGATATCTGGTGACATCAACGCAAAATTTTCACTCGTAAGCACCAAAATGGAATTAAAAAAACCAACCAAAGCACACATAGTAAACACGCCAAGTTTACAAGTTCCAAAAGAGTCCACAGATATAGAAAATACCTGAGATGCTTGGACAATTGTTAAGACAATCACACCAAAGAAGAGGAAGAAATCAACGATGAGAAATGATATAGCACCAACATGATGATTGCCAACATGGTTAATCCAAGCTCCAAAAGACGATGGAGAGGATGGATCAGTTATAACTCCTGAAAGTGATTTATCGTCAAAGATTAAGGCACGTGGGAATCCAAAATGCAAAATGACAGACATAAATCATTGTTAAAGTCATTTAGAAACATACTTGTAATAGTAACTGCTCCAGTGATCACCATTGCTGAAACTTCAAGAACAAGAAATATAAAGAAATCCCGTTTGTTTTTCTGTGTCAAATATTGATTAGCCACATTAAACCTCAGATTGTATGAATATATCGAAGCAAAAATA